CGTCGTGTTTACGGGTTAAACCGTGTCGGGCTTCGAACTGTGAAACAAACCCTATGCAAAGCTGCCTACCTTGGTCTTTTAGTGATTAAAACAAAAAAAAAAAAAAAACCCACGTTATTAGCTTTGTTTATGAAATATCAAGCATAAGGATTGGACAGTTCCAGGCCTGATGATTCCCCTTCCTTCCATCCATCTTCCTAGCCCCGTAACTTTCTGATAAGGATTTGACCGCTGTTTGATGGTTTTGGAGCTACAGAATTGAACTTTAGGAGATCTTGGACTACAGGTGAACAGATTGACAACTGAAGCGATAGTAACAACAATCTCACAAAAAATCAGGATGTTTTCATGTTGGCAAAGGTAGTGAATGGCTGCACTGACAGGTGGGAGTGCAGCAAACAAGTAGCAACCGTAAGTGCTTGCTGAACAGCTAATCCTGTCAATGTAGTCGTACTCAGGTGCTGATTAAGACAAACTGTGGTTCAGTGCAGCTAAAGCTTTGCTACAAATGTTTTTCCTTGTAAGTGCTCTGCTTGAATCAATTAAGATTCCCTGTGTAACTTCTTATGTGGAATTTAAGACTTTTCACTATTGTCCAAAAATGAACTCTGAAGCCCTGTAATTTTATAGGCAAACATTTGTGTGAATGTTCTCGGTTTGCATCTTTTCTAATGGTTTAAATAAAAATGCCAGCTATTTGTTGCAAATGAACACCACACCTGTTTTCGACAAATATAACCTTCTACACCTTTTAGCCTGAAAAGTACATGTGCATGAACCTCCCACTTGGAAGAGCGACACTGAAGTCTAATTTTAGGATAATCTTAGCTTGAAAAAAATATATAGGTATTCAGTAAAGACAGACAGCAATTTCACTACTCCTTATTTTTGATTGTGAAGTATTGATGATAGTTTTAACTGAGTACTTACATGGATGGACAGGTTTTCTTTTTCCTCCTTAAACTTCCAAAAGAGAGGTTCTGACCTGCTCTCTCTCTCTTTTTTTTTTTTTTAATTTTAATGCTGATTTTAAAAGGTTTTCATAATTTCATTCAAAAGCATTTGCTTAAATAAGGTAACTGTCCTTCAGTTATGTGAATATTCCCTTTTCCATGTATCTTTTAACTTTTCAAGTATGACGTTAGTAAATTTTTAATGAAAAAGAATTTGTATATCTATAAGCAATGAATAAACATATATATATGTATATATATATGCATTCATATCAGGCACGCTTAGGGCTTACTTCTAAAATAATTTCTTCTAAAATACTTGCAGTTTTTTATAACTATCTTAGTCTAGATGTGAGAGTTGATGCCTGTGTATAAGCTAATTTTCTTATATTGTTTAATGCAGGTTCCTGCTATTCAGCAGAAAAGAACTGTAGCATTTCTAAACCAGTTTGTGGTTCACACCGTACAGTTTCTCAACCGATTTTCTACTGTTTGTGAAGAGGTATGTTTATTGTTTCCCATTTGTCAATTTGTATAGATGAAAAAACAAATTCAGAAATGAGAACCATTCAATTTGATACGTTTTGCTGCAAGATGGCCAGGTAGCTTAAACCAGAAAATTTAATCGATGCAGTGTTTCTCTTGAGTGAAGACGTAAGACAGATTTTTTTTTTCCAAGTTACCCATGTGAATTGCTGATTGTACCAGACTGATAACCTTTTTCCTTAAACTTTTGCATTTGGCACAGTCTTTGGACTTTTTTCTGAGCAGCTCCATTTGTGGATATGCTCTTCTTTTGGAAGAAGAATGCCTTCTTTCTATGCTGCTGGATCTATTTTGAAAGTCAGTATTCATCTCATCCTACGATGCACATCAAAATTTTCTTGCAAATATTTTCCACCTTTACTTTGAAAGGGTGATATGCTAAGCTCTGCATGTAAATGATATTCATGTGAAAAAAAGACGTTTTTGGCAAGTGATTAGCATGGAACATGAGGCAGTTGATTTTAGTGTTTTCTCAGAAAGAGAAAAGTAAAAACAGTAAAAGCTGACAAGTTTTTATGGTGAATTTAGTGTCCAAGAAAACATACCAGACTGACAGTACTAGAATTGATCACAGAACAGGTCTAGAGTGTTTCATCCCTTGTAGAAAGGTTGGTTTCTAATGTGGCTTTAAGCTTAACCTTTTTATCATGAGGGTTTTTTTGTAACTGTTGACTCGCTTACTCAACAAAGACTACTATACAGCCCTAGCCAGCAGCAATTGTCATATCCAATTAGACTAAGCCGTGTAATCTGAGAAATTTTGTTATTTGTTAGTGAAGGTTTGAGCCAGCCCCCTGACTGGTGTAAAATTTGGCTGCCACGTGAACATATGGGGCTTGAGAGGAAAAAAGTAAACTTTTTTAATGGATTTTTAACTTGTTTAACTTGATATATGTCTAACTGCCTGATGATGATGATGTTAGTTGTCCAAAAGTTTGTCACATGGTCTCAGTATTGCCTGTTACACAAGCACTTTCAAAATCCTATATATACGTGTATATAAAGCCTGTCTTGAGTGTGGAGCAATGCTGTAAGGTCTAATTAAAGTCCATCTATTGAACTGTGTGAATAAGTACTTAGTAAAACAGTTTCTTAACCTAAATGTGTTGTTACTCAAGAGATGGAATCTCTTTGCTTTGTCGACTCCATGAAAAGTTTTTGTATTTATGAAGCACAGAAGTGTTTTGAATGTCAAAGGTCCCAATATAAATCAACAAAGTCAGGAAATTCAAAATTAAGGCTGACACCATTCTTAACTCTAAATTTCTTGGCTCTTGTGTAGTCAAACTAGACCTCTAAAGTTATATAATGATCTTTTGTGCATGCTTCCTCCTCTTCCCCAAATACATACAGAGTGTATAGCTCCTTTCCAAAGGAACCAACTCCTCTTCAAGAACAAAGAGCCATCTGTAAACAAGTCCGTGCACTGTCCAAAAAGGCTTAACTTTTGTCAATCTCTTTTTACTTTTCTAACATATTGGCAGAACTGCCATTTTCTTAGGGTGTTAAAGTTCCACTTATGAGCCAGGCAGAATCTTGCCAATGTGCCAAAAAGCTGTCAGAGTGGTACACATCTGCCAGCCAGCAGGCTAGCCAACTTCACTTGGACAGGTCTGGTAGAGTATGGTAATGATTAGTTGAAAGAGTGACAATTCTTATAGAGTAATTTTAAAAAACATTGCATTATTTTTTAAAAAGCATTGATGAAATTTGATTGAGGTGCACACGGGGCATATAAAGCTTCTGGTTTGTTTTAGTTCACCGAGTGTTTTGACTATATATGATTTTCATCCACCTCCTCTATTCTTTATCAGATTTCTCTTTTTTTGTGTGTGTTCAGTTACATACACATTACATCTTTTCATCTTTAACGTTTGGAAAGAAAGAGCTTTGATGGAAGTTATTTTGGTAACTGTGAGAGTACAGTTGTCAGCCATTATTATCTGAATGCCCAAAGTAATATCCTATTTACTTTGGCTTTTACATAGTGTCTGTCTTCATTTCTGTCTGTCGTTATTTGGGAAACCACACTCTAGTAAAATTATTTAAAATGTGAACCATTGTGGCTACTGCACTAAAAAAAGGGTGCTACCATTGCTTCATTTCTTTCATAATAATGTTATCATCTTATTTGCACTCTGCCTTTAGCAAGTTGAAGCCAAAAGTGATTTTATTTAATTATGTATTCCTTTAGCTAAATGTGAACTGTATTATATGTACAAGTGGCTTGGGGGAGCGTTTTCATATCTTAATTGTTTTCTATCCTAGAAATTGTCAGCACTCTCTCTCCGTATCCAACAAATTGAAACAACGCTCAACATTCTGGATGCAAAGGTTTGTATGTGTATAGACTTTGTATTTTAACAGTGATAGCTTTCTAGATTACAGAAACTAGCTTCCTTTCAATAGTCTGAACTGAGCCAATAAGTTTCCATAAAGATTGGAAAAAGCTAATACCAAAGACTTTGATGACAAACATTCACTTTGCATGCCTGACCACTTACATTGCTGACTTTCTTGTACACCTACACTTATGATATGCTCATTGTTTATTTGGTGATGTCTTGTGCATTCAGTTGTCCTCTATTCCTGGCCTAGAAGACGTCAAATATGAAGTGTCCAATGTAAATTTGAATAGTGTTACAAATGGTCCTGTTGCACAAGCTACTACAGATCAACAGACAAGTATATCACCTCAGTCTGGAGTAAGTAATGAAAAATAAATAATATATTAAAGGAACATACTTCCCCCTATCAAGTTTCTAATCTGATTTAAAATGGATGGAAGTCAGAATTCTAGTGAAAGAGGGCAATCAAGCTAACTATGAAGCTCTATAACTATATTTTTCATTAATGAAATGATTTTAGTGGGGGATCACTTTTAAGGCAAAAAGGGTAAACCCTTTTTTTAATTATGTAGCTTAAATAGTTAGTTCTAACTCCATTCTTATGGTAAATAATCCCTTCCTCTTTGTTAAATCACAGTAAAATATGATCATGAGTTACATCAAGGGACTGGGAAGGTCATGAATGAAAATAGTATTTCCGATCCAATAATTGCAGTTCTTCTGTCCTTCCTTTAGAATGTTAGCTTTCAGCACAAGCTGATGTTTCTAGCATAATTATTTTAAAGAGGTTGTTACAGTGAATGTTTTCTGTTTGTTATCTCTGTGTTCACAAAATGCCAGTTTTTGGTAAGTGATCAAAATCAAGATTCTGTCCCTGCAATGAAGTTGTTTTTTTACCCCAGCATTAAATGCTCTGATCAGCACGTCAGAAAGTGAGACTTTCTGGCTCTCATTTGTAAGTGGACTTCTTTTCCCTGTTTCCTATTGTATCTCTTCTCTATCAGTTCCGATCTTGGCTCGTTCTCTCATTTGGTGGAAGTTGCTGTGAGGCAGCAATAGCTGGAATATTAAAAATCCTGCATAGGCTGTTGCCTTCCCCTGCCTAATAAGCTTGTAATTTTAGATTCATTTGCAGCCAGAAACATGGAAGACAGAATGCACAGTCAGCATTGCATGTTTCAGTCATGTCAGAGAATAACTTGCAGTTATTTTGTTTTCTTTAAAATTTCCTCCTCCTCTCAAATATTACTGTGGGGATATGTACTCCTGAAAACACATTTCCAATTCCACTTTCAAATGGTTAGTTTAATAGCTAGTGTATAAATGATATTGATAGTTGTCGTTTTGTGTACTACTACTGTAGTATTATATAGTATTCTAGTGCTACTATAGTTGTAGTAGCAGTAATTTTATGTTGTGTTTTATATAGTACCGTATAAAGTACTGTCATTTTTCTAGGTCTGTTAGAGACAAAAATGACAAATGAAGCTCATGTACTTTTTAATCTGCCTGGCTAGAACTGTTACTTGGAATGCTGACTGCATCCAGAGTCTCTGATTAGTTACTCTCAAGGACTCTGATTTTCTTATCTTTTAGGTTAATGGTTTATGTTGAAAGACTTAAGTATGCAACCTGTACAAAATACTTATCAGGGAATCAAAGAAATATTATGAGGAAAATGCATTGAACCAGTAGGGGAGTTAGATATAATCCCTATGAAATTTATTTCTCATACAGTGAGCATATAAATTAAACTCTGTTTTTTCATTAAATGCAAGGAATTAATACAGGCGTATTATGGGTTAGATGAATGTCTTGTGGCATTAGATATTCACCGAATGTTCTATTGGTTGCCGTGATCAATTTTGTATGAATCACAGGAGTCCAAAGAGAAAAGTATCACTAGGCTGTATTCTTTTTTCCCTTCAAGGTACTGTTTTCTTGATTGTTCCATAGAAAGATGTGGTGATGTGATAAAAAAGATGTGAAAGATATAATAAAAAACTGTATTGTCATGAAGGTACCAGTGAAGATAGCACCTAGATTAACTAAAATAAATCATAAAAATAAGTCAGTAAGACCTTCCAAGAACCAACATTTTGTCAATATGCACAATTGAAGGGCAACTGTCTCCAAATATTTTTGCTTTGGTTTTAAGATTAAAAATAGACTATTAATTAAATATTTTCTTCTGTCTTGTTTGACTATTTCAACTGCATAATCCATGGAGCACTATCAGGTATAGCTCTTTTGACTCAACTAGTATTGTCTTTGTAATCAGTGCTGTGTTTTTTTTTCGAGTATTGTGCAGTAATTTAAAATGGTTGCTATATGTAGAAAATCATACTCATAACAGTTCAATAATGAAAGAGCTGGTTTTAGTGTTGGGAATCTGTAATATTATGAATGTAGGTCAGAATATTGTGATCTAAGACAAGTTGCACTTTAAGTTACAAATTTTATGGATTGCAACTGCTGTGTGCTTCTGATCTGCGCAGCTAAGCATTAATGTGTTATCTTCTTTGTATACGGCAGAACAATATAAATGAAGAAGGGTTACAGAAAACGGAAGTAGTAACAGAAAATATCAGAACTGTTGCCAAGGATCCAAGATATGCCAGATATCTCAAAATGGTACAAGTGGTAAGTCAGTTCTGTAGTATTCTTTGAGAACTCCATTATTTTTATGGTGAACTTCACACGCAGCTCTGAGTGAATGCTATATATCGGACGACCAATATACTATCTCAGTAATCTTTAAGCTAGGATAATATCAGAGCATTTCTAGCATATCTTCTGTAATAAACGATTTGATGTAGTATGTGCCCTCAGTTTAACACTAATCCTATAAACTTGCTAATACAGAAGTCGGGACAGCTTCAGGCAAGACCTTTGCTACAAAGCTCTGTCAATATACCTGTGGACTAAAGATGTGAAGGTGTGTAAATGCAGACTCATACTAGCTGGAGTCATAAAAATGCCATTAAAAGTGTAGTTATTCTGGCAAAATTGTTATTCACTCCACACAGGTATATTATAGTTTGTTTTTACTGTAGGGTATAAAAGGAAGCTTTGCTAGTTTAGCACAGAGCAGGAGTGTTTGATATTCTGCATCAGTCAGTATTCCTGCAGGATTCGACATACAGATGGAAGATTTGCTTCCCTACTTAGTTCCGCTTCAGTTCCTTGTTATTAATGATGTAGCTTTGGTGTTTTCCTCTTCCTTTGTGGGCTTTTCTGCAGATAAGTATGAAATAAATGAATGTAATCTCAATGTTCAAGTGTGTGAAAACAAGTGAAGAGATGAAAAGATGAATTGGCGATTCTTGCGGACATCTTTTAAGAGCTCTTTTTTCACCCGTACAAAATTAAAAATGAGGTTGGAAACGAAGTAAATTATTTTATCTTTATTTTCCAGCAATCACTGGAGATTTTTCTATAAAGTATATATTAAAATTCTGAATAATACGAATAACGCATAGAACTGGGTAAAATGTTGCTTATATTAAAACTAACTGCTTATTTTCATTCCCTCTGCAGAACAATTGTTAAAATTGGTGTGTTTGATATTTGGGATGGTGTTCGAGACCTTTCTTTTCGTTTGAATCACAAATTGGCACTTTATGGATAAGTCATTACAAGCTATTTGAAGAACCCAGCAGTGGGGTAATGGCAGAGAGCAGAATGCCATGTTAGCTTACGGATTTAATGCCAGTCTGAAAAGTGGATGTGAAAGAGCTGGATAGTCTAATTACTTTGACTTTTTTTTGGTGACTGCTAAAGGAGTGAGATCTCACTCCTCATTCCTCATAAACTCACATTTATCCTTTCTACTGGCAGTTTCTGGTGAATCCTCTGCCAGTTGTAAACAGTGTGGTAGGAAAGTCAAACTAACATACTACAAATTAATGTGCGTTCTTGTATTTGTCAAAGTGGTCTTCACAGTCAATCAAGTATTTGAGTTAGTGTAATTTCTTTGCCTGAATTAAGCTTCTAGTTGAAGATTTGTTTGGATTATTCATTTGTATACTGCCCACAATATTTGTAATATTTAAGAGTTAGCAATCTGAAGAGATATTTCCTGTACGCTGAAGATAGCTGTTCTGTGAAATAGTAACAAATTCACTTTAATGGAGTGCAGTTGAATGTACTAAATTCATATTGTTCATATGTACAGCAATAATAGTCAAGCAAACCTTACAAAAGCAATATCAAATTTGCTACGGTAAATGTACAGAGCATTTCTTTTGACAGAGTGAGAAGAACAGTCTAGGAATTCAGAATGGAAATTCTGAATTCAGTCTAGGAATTCATGTTTAAAGTGCAAATACTCCCACTGGGTTCTAAACATCAGACGCAACTGCACATACTCCAAGGCACTGACTAGTGTGAATGTACCATGAATATACATTGATCCATGCTTTACGTGGACTGAAGTAAAAATTAAACATGGGAACCACTCTAGTCTTAAGAAAATGCCAGCCCTTAGTGATACGTGACCTCACACGGCACTACTCACTCAGTAGTGCCGAAACTGGCTTTGCAACAACACTGCTATTTGCTCTGTGGCTTCTCCGGGACCTACATACTGCTGAGCAAGTGGGACCAGGCTGGGAGCAGGGCTGTGGTGTAGTAATCTGGATTATTTCAAACTCTTAGCTGGGATGGAGGTAAATGGGATGGATGTTTAGTGTTGGCTCCTATGTTAGAAAAGAACACCTGTGCCATTTAAGAGGATGTGTATGCTCAGTGTAGTTACTGTTTGTATTTAAAATAATTGGCCACCAGTATTATTTTATAAGATTTAGGATCATGGCAGTGTTAGACTCTGATTTTCCAGTTTACAACTTACCAGGGTATGAAGGATAAAGTAATTGCAGTACCCTAATTGTATAAAATTCTTAATGAATGGAGTGAGATATGAATTTATTTGTTCTCCCTCAGGAAAAAAAAAGGACAGTATTCAAGGATATTTTTATTAAACTTAAGATTAGTTTTGTAGATCTGTGATATATGGAGGAACTTATAGTTTTGTTCCAGGCTACAAATATGTACTGTATCTTTGAGATTAAATCTAATTTTTATTTAGCCTGTTCTGGGATTGCAAATGCTAAAATGACTTAATGGGGCAAAGTTACCTGTAGGGCAAAGTTGAGACTGTTTGGATGCCTTAACTATATCTTTCTTATCATTGGGCTGCTTTTAAAAGAAATGCATACTGAAAGTTCTAGATTTGTACTCTGTGGTTTGGGGAAAATTATATTTCTCCTAGAATAGTTTTCTGCATTAAGTTATTAATGGATGTGCACATTCACATAATTTAATTTGGACTTCAGGTTTAAAATATGAGGCTTTTTTTCTAAAATCTTAGTTCCTAAATTAAATAATTTATGCTCTCTATCGCACAGCAAGTTTACATCCAGCTTCGATATAAGCTAATATAAGTCTGTTCCTTTCAAGTTTTTTGCTAGCATTGAAAACTGCAGTTATTTCAGTCTAACCACAGTATAGTTGCTGGCAATATAGCCGGCATGCATCTCTCTCTAAAACAAGCATGCTGAATTTTTGGCTCTGTCATACTGTCTTTTAAACATCTGCATACAGGTTACTAAAGTATCAATTTATTTTATGTTTTTTCATAGTTCTCAGTTGGTGGAAACCAGTAATTATAAATCTCTGATGTAAAGAGGAGAATCCTAACCATCTGAGTTACCCCTACAGCCATGTTGTATTAATCGTCTGTAGTAATGCAGGTGTTACAAGTGCTTTGAGGGGCATCGAGTTTCTATTTATGAACAAAAATAGGATGTTTTCTTTAAAGGATGTTTAGGAAGTTAAGACAGCTGTGAATTCCTGCAAAAACTGCCTTAAAAGTAATGAATTAGCAGGTATTATTATTTGAATGATCTCGCTATTTCAGGAGCTTGAATAGTGGGAAGTTAGGCTGGTGTTGCACAAATTCCTTTGTTTTAGAATAAGTACAAAATTTATTTCCATTAAAATTTTTTGAGACAATTTTTTTGTTTTCCTTAGTAAGTCCTGGTGTTGCACAAATTCCTTTGTTTTAGAATAAGTACAAAATTTATTTCCATTAAAATTTTTTGAGACAATTTTTTTGTTTTCCTTAGTAAGTCTGTATGTGTTAAAGATCTTTCTCAAGTTGATGAGATCAATCTGAGTTGAAATCCCTCCCACAGTAGCTGTCAAACACACTTGATTTTTGTTGAATTTATAAATCTACTGTTTTGCATATTGGCATATTGATCAGGTATATTTTCTTAACTAAATCAGAGAACAGATCTGTGTTTTCACCTTAGCCACCTCTGATTTCCCAGAAGAGCTTCTCCAGGCAGGCCAGGAAAAATATTTTCCTCAGTCTTTACTTTTTAAAATGATTCTTACATATTTTGATGCATACAATTTTGGAGTAAAACACTTTTCCAAATGAGAACATAAAAGCGTAACAGTTCCAGTCCATTCTTAGAAGTTCATATGCTGAGTTCCCTTTCATTGAGAGCAAATAATGAGTTCTGCTACGCCTGATCAGATGACTCAATCTTGTTTTCGCTTGGTATGAATTGATGCATAAACACTTCATCAGTGGCTTCTGAGCTCAGCTTACTTAAAGTGCTGGGTTGGGGAAAGGAACCCTAAAAGCAGCCAGGCATGGAAGAAAAACATTCGATAGTAAAAGATCATTTATAGGGACACACAATTCCTGGTGTTAGTCCAAATCGATCCTAGGAGAAGTGAATATTTTAAAAATAGTCATGAAATATGCAAATGCTTTCTGCTTTGTAAGGTACATTAGTTGTGACTTACTGAGAAATTCGTTAATGTAAGTCAGTGCCTCACAGCTGTTTCAAAGGAAAATTTTTGCCTATATTCCTGTTAAATTGATTTAAAACTATGTCTGAGTGCTTTTTCAAAGTCTTAATGCAGAAGTCTTGATTGTGATTCTTAATGCAAATCTGTGCAGGAGAACACAGTAAAAGAACTAGCTTAGCTCTCACTTTACTGGTTACCTACTGCAATTGTCACTAGTACCACACACTTCTCTGGAACATTAGTCTTGGCTGCCTTTTTTTATCACTGTTTTATGTACTTTGGACAAATATATTTGTCCTGTGCCAAAAGAATCCCACACTACTGTTCCATTTTGAGGCCTCTCCTGTCTTTCCTAGACCACTGCTAGCTCTGTCCCTGAGAGATCAGAAATTTGATCCTTTTTTTTTTTTTCCCCTCTTGACATGCAATGGTCCAGGTGGTGTTTCTGATCCTCTGCAACAGAGGATGGCAAAGCCACAACTTGTCTTTGAGCAACTCTAGTGGAAATACAGGAGTAGTTTATTGGAATGGATCTTGTAAGACGACGTGGGTCAAGCTGTTCTTGGGTATCCGGTCCAGGGTGAGGATGTTTAGGTGTTGCTGAATAAAATAAAATGCAGAAGCTGTGGAAGGATTTGCAGTGAGAGGAAGGAATTTTTCTTAACACGTACATACTTGGCTAAAATCTGTCCACAAGTCATAGAAGATTCAAGCCTGACTGTACAAACACTTGTATTCAGAGGAATCACTTTTAAATTGTGCTTCTATTCTCATGTCCTGTTTGCCTTTTTCTACATGCTTTTTAAAGATTTTTCCAATTTTTAACATTAACTTAAGGTATCCTCTCAGGGCTGTAGCTGATGCCTTCTCCTGCTTTTCCTGTCTCCTTGTCTGTACCTTCAGTGTGTCTGAGTCCTTGTCTTTCCAGCACAACAGGTTCTTTGCTTTGTTTCTATTTATGCACTTTCTTCACGTTGTCACCCATTCACATAACTTCAGCTTATTGTTTTCATGGGCATGAACTACAAATATCTGTCTGTTCCTGACTCCCTCCCCTCAACTTTCTCTGAATGTATTGCCATGAATATAACATGGACTAAAGGGCCCTTTGTTTCCTAAGAGGTCGTACCTATTTTTCCTTTTCCTGTCACTTAAACTTGTAGTCAAAAGTAGCAGAAGGAGAATTGTTTCTACTCTCTATGCCTTGCTATATGCTTGTTTAAACTCAATCATTTATTGCTTCTAGGTTCATACAGATGGCCGCAGAGATTATCATCCCATGCTCTTGTTCAACAAGAGTGACGTGTTTAAATGTGTATGAAAGTCTAAAAGAGCCTGTGGAATTTAGTTCATCTGTTTGTGTCCAGTAGATTTATACGACTCTTCCTTCTCCTACACAGGGCGTTCCTGTAATGGCAATACGAAACAAAATGATTTCTGAGGGGCTAAATCCAGATCTTCTTGAGTAAGTAATATTTGCAGCTTGTAAATTCCGGTAGGGCTAGAGTGCAGCCATGTGTTTTAAAATTTTGGGAAACAAAAACTGATTCGGAAGGCTTGTTTATGGTATGGTGAGTCTCAATTAGAAGCATTAAAACAAATGTTGAAATCTTATGTAGAGGTTGTTTTAGCATTTTGTCGGTCATAGAGAGAGTCATCAGTACCAACGGAGGAGGGATGCGGTCTCAAGTATGAGCTGTCTTTTCCATATTGTCTAGTCCAGTGCAAGGCCCATTAAATATAAGGGAGGTTAGGATGTGAATGGGCAGATACTGTACCTTTCCAAGCAAACAGATGCAGGTCTTTCCCATTCAAACTTGAGAGGGAGTAGAAAGACTTCTTCCAAGCCAAGCACGAGTCATGCAGTTCCAGAAAGAGGATATGGCAAAGACAAGGTAAAGGATATGCTCTTTGATTATGTGCATGTAGCAGTGGGGAATCAAATAAGATATCAGCAACCGTTTTCACTGAACTGGTCTAAGCACAGTATGATGTTTTTCCCAGATATTTTCTTCCAATACTTTTTATTTCAGTAGCTATCATCATTATAGACTAGTAAGAACAAATGTTTTTATTTTGCCTCATGCATGAGGGACAGCACAGTTTTTTCCAGATTCCCTTAGTAGCTAGAGTGTACAACCTGACTTCAACATTAGCGGAGTAAGTTAAAGCCAACAGTTCACAAGTGTGACTGATTGAGTTAACCCAATGTGAAGAATGCCAGTGAGGAATAGATACTCATTTTCAAAGTTACTTATCTGTCCATAAGCGTGGATCTCGGGATTTTCTTAAACATTTAATTTTGCTACACTGTTTTGTAGAAATGCTGTTAAACTGCTTACAATGAAATATTAAATAGTAAGCTTTATTCATACGTAATAGCCACTAAACTGCTTGAAACGTTTTTGCAGCCTCTGCAGCAACTGTCAATGTATTAGAAAGTCTGTTAATGTTTTAGAAAGTCTGTTTCTCCTTTCCAGTGAAGCCTTTTCACATTTTGGAAAGGCTTATTCTAACAACTTCTTTAATAAAATAAGCAAAGATATCAGAGAACTGATTGTCATATGTTGAATCATTTTATCTCCCAGCTCTTTCTTGGTGTCCGAATATGCCTAAATTAGTTGTTCTTCATTTAGTATTTTTGCTGATCAAATGAGATATAAGAAACAGAATGGAACTAAGAATCTGTGCAAGTCTGAGGCAGGAGTATCAAGGATGGTTTTACTGTGTGTGTGACATAATTGTATTTCTCACTCGATAGTCCTGGTCCATAACTTTGTGTAATTGCTGCTATTTCTTCATGTCTAGATGGATTTTAATAGTGGATAGAAAGAAGATAATCTGTTAATATTTCAAATGCTTTTATTTTTTAATAAGAATCTAGTTGTGGCCTGTCTGTTTTGGAAAGCCTTAAGGAAGCAAAATTATAACTGGACTGAGGCACACAATATATTTGGGGATGTGTCTCAGTCTGTCTTCAAGGATTCTGTGAAATACTAATGTTCAGGCACATTTTCTTTAGGCTGCTACAGCTTTGAAATAGTATAGGCAGCCTATCTGGTTAAAAAAAGCTGATTATTTGGCAAGGTGCATAATGCCTCTTTGAGAAACTTTTCATCTTCCTGCTTTCAGTAATTTAACTTTTTCTGTACCGTGCCATTCACACCCCATTTCTTGAGTCTCTGTGTGGCTTGGGCCTGCCCACTCAGTCCCAAATGTGGGGTTTCGTTCTTTGAATGAAAATTAGGAAAATTTACATGTTGCTGTACGCTGAATCACTTAATCCAAACTGTCCCATCACCACTTGGTGACTGAACGTGTCCTTTCTGTGGCTGCAGAGAGATGCTAGTTCTAGTCAGATGGAATTGTTTATGGTCTCTTTCTTTGGCTGTTTTACCTTTGCTTCTGTTTTACCTTCTGCCTCCTTTCTGCTCTCTTCACAGAAGTTGAAAACTGCCTATTCTACTTAGCTCCCAATTTATCTATTTTTAACTTCTATTTCTTATCCTTCCTCTCTTGTCTGTCTGCAGTTCCAGGAGATTTTGTCTTGCCCTCCTGAACTATAGAATTGCTATCTTTCTTTCCTTACTAGAGCAGAGTTTTTGTGCTGGTCTCTCCAGATCGCTTCTCTTTGCACAGCTTTTCTGTTTTGTCATTACCATGACAACAAGGAATAATATTGTGAAGTGGTATTTGCATGAGAAAGCAAAGGCTTTCATAATTTATTTTGGAGGTGTGCAAGAGGGGAGAAGACTCTCTTACAGTTCTTTAATACACTTTTCACTTTTGTACCAAAATGTTTATAACACTTTAAATGTACCCTGGGATTTCCAACAGAGGAAATATAATAAGCAGAGCTTAAGTCGGAAAAGTAATTCTCTGGCATGACACAGAGGGGTAACCCACAGATAAATGTCAACAGGACTAGCAATATAATTATCGGCTTAGTTTAAAACTTGGCATTTTATTAGAGAGAGCAGTAAACTATGACACAAGAAGCTAGTTTCCGTGAAGATCATTCCTCCCCTTCCCCAAGTATAATTGTGTGTATGTTTTGTGCATTGGTTTCTGAGTTTACCGCACTCAGTTTTGCTTGTATTGTCAAACTTATTACCAACTTAGGAGGGAAGCTCCAGGGAGAACCAGAGTCTTCAGTTGGTAGTATGAGTTATTCTTTAGGCGCCTTGCTTCCCTCCTCTTCATCCCCAGTAGACTCCATGGGCAAATGTTTTGATATGATGTTACGGATCCATCTTAAATATTCTCTTCAGAACTAGATACAAGAGGTCTGATCATTTATAGTCAATAAAAATCCCATAGCTGCTCTTGCATGTCAAATTTAACCCAGTGTTCTAGCCAAATTCCACTCTGAGTAATTCTTTTTTGCTTCTCTAAATTATCCCTGAAGTTTTAGTTGGATACAGTATTGTTCATTTCCTGTCTTATTTTTTCATGTACTATTTACACTGCTTAATGGTGTACAGCATGTTCCTTTCAGCCCTAGAACCTCTGAAAATTAAAAAAAAATTTTGAATTAATCAGTATTGCTTGCTTTAAACTCTTTATTCTAGTATTAGCCCCTTCTTAGTGATCCGCCATTGTTTCTGTTCATACCGCAAAGGCATGCCTTCAAACAGAGGTCTACAGAGTGTTTAAGTCCCGTGAGTTACAGTTTCTAGTCTTCATCTTTCAGTTGTAGGTGAAGCAGCACTGATCAGGTGTGTCTGTGTAAACTCTCATGTGTTAAATGCTGTGGGTATAAAGTGCATGCAATTACAGTGAAAGGTATTAAATATACTAGGCTACTTGTGTTCTCAGCCATCTTCTAGGATTTACAACACAGAACCTTTCTGTTGCCTGCAGGACCCCAGATGCCCCCGTGCCTGCTTGGGGAGATGATGGGAATGCAGAAGAGAGTTCTGATAGTGAATCTTCGTTCAGTGACTAAAGAAACTGGTTTCAGCCTTTGGAAACTTCTGTTAAGTGCTAATGTGTTTGAAGCCCTAGCAGAGAATGTTATGCTTGGGCCACATGGATGATGATTTGTCTGACAGCTTTTCTTAGCACTCAGACCTGTCATGTTCTCTCCCAGGAAGTTTGAACAGGCAGGGTGTTCAAACCTGAACCTTTCCACCGTGAGAATTAATCATGAGATCCTTGCAATTGTCGATAGTGCATTATTTCAGGTTCTTTCCGATTCTTCTGAAATTACTTTGTAAAACTAAAAATTCCACACCTCTGAACCTAGGTCTCCAAGGCTGCATTGTGGTCATTATTAGACTTTTTATGTAACACTGTTAGTCTAAGTTGCCTTCTTTTTGTCCCATAACTTACAGGTGGAGTAACTTTTCAAATGAAATTGGTAATTGTAAACTGATGGAACTGCAATTTTTTATAATATACCGTATCCTGAAGTGATGGAACAAGAATTTCGCAGAAGAGTTAGCTATCATATGGTGATGCACATCAGTGATATTCTGTTTGCAGAGAAGTTGAACTACAAGTGGAGAAATATATGTAACAATCTGAATCTATTTTCCAAGTGTATATTGCTATTCAGTTTCATGTTAGAGTTGTTACAGAAATTCCTGCTCTATAGAAAAATCTGTTTATCAGATTCATGTTACAGTGGTGTACAAAGCTACAAATGTTGCAAGATTGTTTTGAAAATGGCACTGTTGAAGTCAGTCACTGGGAGATTATTAATGGGATACCCGAGTCTCACTGCTTGCACTGTCACACAGGTCAGTCAGTAGAAGCCACTTTCTGGCAGCTGTTTGGCTCATTTGAAATGAGCTGTGGCTGTGCAGTTCACACAGGATAAGAGATCACCTCCAAGTTGGTGCCGTTGGTGGTAATTTCACAAAGAAGCCAAAACTGAGTTTGTATAATGATAAACTTTCTCACCACCTCTTGAGGTATGCATTGGCAAACAATATGAAGAATTCACTCAGAGCCTGACTAACCCACAAGATGGATCTTCTCTCCTCCGTCCAAAGTACTTCATCTGCTGCATAAATCAAAAATGACATTTCATTAAAGGATCTTCTTTTATATAATTTGTTCCACATGAACTTCTTCACTATCTATTTGAATTCCTCAGATTACTGTGATTATACCAAAATGCTGTGGGCCAGGCAATCATTCACTTTCTGCTCTTTCACATTCTTCCTGAGACCAAGAAAAGACTAAAACTGTAGCTCTGAATATATACATTTGTTAACTTTTATGACTGAGTCGTTATCTTCTCTCTTGGTTATTTCTACCACTTCAACAGGTTAACTACTTTTTTTCTGTAACTTAAGCATGGCTCCTATTTGAGTCTAGCAGACATAATTAAGCTCTTCATAACTTGTATATCAAAATAATATATGAATCCCTAGATAAAGCATGTATGCACTAGAGAATGTCTAGAGATGGTATTTCAGTGAGGAGTTAATTATTACTGAACACTTAACAGACGTGGTCAATAACTAACACTTGGCAAAACTTGGCAAGTATTAACATATTAGCAATAAATATTTCAAAAGTGAATGTTGGTATTTCAGAAACCACGTGTTAAAATACTGATAACTTTATGAAATCTATATTTGAAAACTCATTGAAGCAATCTGTATCATTAAAGTTATGTTTTGTAAACCAAAATTGTGGCTCTATTTTGTTCCTAGAAGTTGTTTTAAACAGGATTATGAAAATTCTTCTGGAGTATCTGTAATTATGTCACGTTTCTCCAAATCTAATTATGCTGAAGTTGTATCAATCTGTTAGCTGAAGTGAAGAATTTTGAAAATAGGGGCTTCAAGTATGACCTAATCCATGTCAGCTGTCTGACTAGAGGAGAGCTGAATACCGCATAGCTGCTATTCTAACCAGAAACTTTAAGCAAGATGGAAATTATTGAGAAGGGTATGTTTGATACTGTAAGTCAAGCTGCTTCCTTACGTATGTTAATGTGAGCTTAAGAGTTGACTTGAGGCATGGTAGTTAGTTTTTTCTTAATAAAAGAAAGTAAGTTAGCAAAATGTATTTAAGGAAGTATGACTTCTATTGTTTATTATTTTGAAGAGGCTTTTTCTATGGACTAATTTCAGTCCGAAGAGATTGAAGCTGATTGTCTGCTTCTCCATCGCAGATATATTCGTACGTGGAATGAAACAGGAAACCTCTAGCCCACAGCTGCTTGTTATAATGAGGAATAATTAACTGGTAATTACATATATATGTGTCACAGAAGTAGTAATTTTGCTAGTAGGCATGCTGAAGTAATTGTTTAAGGATTGGTCCTTTGCAAGGCAGCTGTTTACCAAGGAGTAGTGCAATCTTGGTAGCCTTGCCGAAACCTTAGGACAAATCTTGCCACTTTATCTCGTCTCCCATTTAAGTGGTGCCACACTAGACTGTGAAAATCCAGATGTTTGAACTTTGGGGATCCAGGGCAAAATAATAAATCCCTCCCTTCCACCTTCAGTGCATCAGCAGCCATCTCCTTTTGCTATCTTCGGAGCCTCTGAACACACTAAACTTCTCTGTTCCTGCCAGCTTCATCTGTTAAACACATCCCTGTTCTCTTAGGCTGTAGCCAAGTTCAATTTTAGATGTTTCAGCTTAGGACACATGCTGACACAAGAAGTTATTAAATATGGGAAGGTTGGTTTGAGATGGAATTATGTCAGCTGTTCTAGTTCTTGATCTACAGCAGTTTTCGAGTGAGCTGGTGCTAACCCAGGAAGCTGGAAAGTCCTTAACCACAAGCTAAATACTATAAGCAGCGAATATTCCAATTTGCTCATTATTTGCCATCTGTTTTGGAATTGAAGATGGAGGAAGTGTTTCAACTTGGCTGCATAGTAATCTGATATACGTAGTCCTTTCAAGGAGAGAAGTCAATTTTTAAGTTACTTGTTTTTAAGAAGCTTCCAAAAGCAATGAACTGTTGAAAAATGCAGAATAGAATAAGTAAGATGCATCAGTCATATGCATTTAATATAATTAATATAACTGTACATGCATTTAAAATCTCCATCCGGGGCAATATTAAAAATTATAGGCGTGAGAACTGCTTTTTGCTGGAATTGAATTGAATGCATCTGTCAATAAAAATTATGATGTAATCAATGTTTAAATGATGGGGATTTTTTACCCCAACGCTGTCTTCCTTATTTTGCAAGTGAGCTGGAATGCAGAATGTGTAAAGATCAGTTTCTTAAAGGTGTTACAGCCGTTTTAAATGCATCTAGGTGCCTGAAAACTAGATGCCTATCTGTATTTCTGAAAGTTAAACCTCAGACGACCATCAAAGGCAAAAACAACATCTGGACAGGACAATGACTATCATTCATCCATTCCCTCTCAGCTCTCCTGTTCGGCTACATTTGGAAAGAAAATTAGCCTTTTCTGCAAGTTAATTCTCTTCCTCTCTTCTCTTTCCAGTGCGTACTATTTACACCACTGATTTAAGTGTATAGTTTGAAATTCAGTGAAAAAACAGTCCTAAGAAATTATAGGCTGTACTTTGAAAAAGAGAATGTCACTAAGATCAGCACTCCTAGTTGTGTCTGCTGAGGCCAATTTTGCTTTCCGTAGTGTTATGTAGCAAGAACCTAATGTTCATCACAGGCTTAAGCTTATTGGGAATCTACTCCCCAGCTTTGTCATGTGAAAGTTGATACACGGATACAATGGTTTTATCTGCAAAAGCAGAATGTGTATTTTCTTACTCTTCAGAAAACTTGGCGTCCTGTTTTCTGAGATGACTGCAGGTCAAATGCCTCCACAAATGCCCAAAGTGTTATTGTCTTTATTCTTTATGTTGGTCTCTCTGTTCAGAACACTCAACAGGCAAGAGAGGAAGGACCACATTAGCTCAGGCCTGTGCCTTGCTTGGTGTTATGGTTTTATCTCTGATAACGATCAATACTGGATGCTTTAATAGAAGATGTGAGAAAATACTACGGTGCTCCAGTGGTCCTCTTCTTCTGCTACCAGGGTTTTATTCGAACTGTAAACAGAGATTGACTTCAGTGCTAAATTACAAGTTTGTTATTGCTTCCAAAAGCTTTTGCATTAGTTCTGGAAGCTGTGGATATTTTTGTCCTGTGTTTTGGCTGTCTATCTTTGCTAATACAATACTGCTTTAAGGGAGATTCATGGGCTATTTCATTATGAGGGAAACTAAGCAGAAAATTAAAATTATATACCCCACGCCATACAGAAAATGAGTGACAGAAGCAAGTTGAGCATAGTATATGTCTCTAAATACTCTCGTTTTGAGGAAACTTCAGTTTAAATGGCTATTTATTAAAATGTAGATCATCGAGTGAGGGCAGCTATAACATGAAATCTTTGTATTTTTTCCAGTTTTTATGTGTTTTGACCTGAAACACAGTCAGACCAGTCCTGGCCTCAAACAAGTGGACGATTTTTTCTGTTCATGTATAGCCCATTTTCAGGTACATGGGTGGAAAGGAAAATTCTGAATTAACGTTAACTTTGCAGATAGATTCTTGCAGATAGATATTCTCAGACGTCATAGCTGGTATGCTGTCTCTGATGGAATGAACTGAAACGACAAACAGTAGTATTGTATGCTTTGGGGAATATGCTTTTTGCTCAAGCTCTTATTTGTATGTTCTAGTACATAAGCACAATTGAAAATTATGAGAAAAAAGAAAGCGTACTTCCTCTGTGGGCGTGCTGTTCCCTGTACACTATAAATCCCTTTTCCCGCTGCAGTATTTTCTGTCCCTGTCTGTGGAATCAGAAGTTTTAGTAAAGTGGATGCTAGGCTTGGGACCAGTCTCTTCCTGGAAAGAGCATGCATCTGAGAGCTGAAAAGGGGGATCAGAAGAAAGGGATATAGGAGTGACTTTTTACACCTATATGAGCAGTTTGTTTTCTGAGCTGATATACCATCTGCTGTTTAACAAGCCGTATTATGCCTGTCACCTGTAATGGTGAGAATTTGAGTACACTTGAATTACCCTGCCCTTACCCTGCTGTGAAAAGATGGACAGCAGAAAGAGCTTGTAAGGCACATTATGAATAATAACTCTCCCAAAAGCTGTGATTGTCTTTCCTCCTTCCAAACAAATGCTCTAATGTTCCAGTGACTCTACTCTCCGAACAGATTCCAAAATCCTTGTGTGATTTCTTGTAGCACAGTTTATACTGGTTTTCAGGGGCAGGGGGAATCTTCCCCCATGAGAGCTAAAACGTTCACAAATACTGTTTTATAATGTTGATTTCTCCATACCACCTTCCAACACCTCTTTAAGAAGGAATACTTTTGCACTCTGAGATGATCATTTGATCTGCTGGACCCAGTTCACCTACTTTTAAAGAAGAATAGAAGTAGGAAGGGTAGTAAACAGTAAAATGAGGAATGCCTGCTTTTCTCGGTTGTTTTATCATTTGCTTTTTTCTCAGTGCTGTAGTTTGGCAGTGAGCTGCCAAATAATAAGAGTGGAGACTTCTTCCAAGAAACCTTGAACATTACCTTGTTTGCCCAGCATGGTGCCTGGCATCACATCAAAGGCAAAAGGTGAAAGTGTGGGCAGCCACTATTTTTGTATAATTGATTAGATGAGTAATGGTTCAGACTGCCTTGTCATACATTTGGTGTAGTATAAGGAACAGTTGTTGCACGAAAGCTTGCCTGCACAAAAGCGTCAGATATATTGAGAAGAAAATTTCAGAGCAGCGGAATACATTTAAAATATCAGGCAGGTGGGGGTTTTATTATTATTTTTCTCATTGTAATTTCTCTTTGCCTCTGACTTGGCTTTCATGTCTACCTCCTATTCTAAATGTTAGGCTTTTGTTATTGTTCTTTTGGCCTCCAGGCATCCTTGCTCTTCAAACATTGCTGAGTTGGCCTGTTACCATAGTTTAAAACCATGCAAGTCTCTTTCTGTAGAGCTCTTCCATTTTATAGGGTGACTCTGATAGCTTCTTTATCATAGCTGAATTGTGGAAAGTGTGTCAGCCTGATTTCCTTTCAAAATACCATCACTTTGTACATGTGTCTGTTCTTAATTTTCCTCAACTTTTGGAACATGCTGTCTAGTTTCAGTCACATTTTGGTGGGGGAGAGAGAAATACGTCTCAAAAATTTGAATCCCTAAGAATTTGATGAAAATAAGTAACTGGGCAGGAGAGAGAGAATGTGATAGCATTTGTGCTGAAGAAAGGCTGCAGCCTTGGCTCAAGCCTTCTTAGACCGCAAGTGATCAGCATAAGAAAGACGTGTTACAAAATACCCTTGTATGCTCTTCCTCTACCATCTGGCCCTCTCTTCAGCCAGGAACCTTTCGACCTCTCTAGTTACAGGCTGAACTCAATTCTGGGGTTGTCACATGGATTTTCTTTATTCAGGAAGTGTGTCAATCAGCAGAACAGCACAGCACTAGTACACTGCCAGGGAGACTCACCAGTGGCAACGAAACTGTCCAGGAACTAGAATCTGAAGTTTATTAAGCACGGTTTCCATTATGTCCAACAGAACGTTATGAGCATAAAGTCATGGTCTGTGAACCTGCTATAGGACATGTGCACTTAAGAGTTTGCATCCTAGAGACCAAAGCCAGTCAGCTACTTGTTAGACCTCCCCAGGAAATCAAATTCTGTTCATTTCCCTGGAGTGCCTG